CCTGGGCCTTTCGTTTGGTTGGTATAATAACTTACAATCTTACAAAAATCCTCCTTCCACCGAATTCTAATATGTGTTTTTTACTTTAATATCTGAAAACAATCTAATCAATTTTACATTTATATGCAATCAGTTTCTATTTCACCTTTCACTGGTCCTAAATATGTACCTGTTTATTTTAAAACACCTTTATTAAAATCAAAGGGGAGAAAAACATGGTATCATTTAACTTAGCCTGGATTTTCTAAAATATTTTGAAATAACAGAGGAAGCAATAATGATACACAAGGAAACATTAACTCTTTGCATACCTCCTTCCCACACAATTAACTATCAAAGAATGAGAATAAGCCTCAGAGTTCTGTTGTATTTTCCTCCATTTTACACTCAATCATGGTTTTAGATGCTGCAGGACCAGCAATTTTAGAATGCATCATCTTTTAGGAGAAAAAAAATTAAGTGCTATGTTGTTAATGCATTTTTGTTAAACGTGGTCAAAATAACAATAACCTTAACTGAGAGAAGGCCATACATCCCTTTAGTAGAGAGAAGATGTCTCTTTCTAGAGATGGTGCCAGGCAGAAACTGCTATGGCTCATGCAGTTGCTCTGTAACACTGATTCTTGTCAGGAACGAGATTCTTTCCAGTCGTTAACGAAATTTCAACCCACTCATGGCAAGCTGTTTGCCCTGCCCACACTCGATGAAACCTAGGTTAATTACTACGACAGAACCTCAGTCAATTACAACAGGAGAATTCTTGTAGTCTACTATTCAGTTGTCTTTCAGTAACTCAAGGTAAATGCTGCAGGAACATGTTAGAAACTGAGGTGCAAGTCCACCAGCAGTACTAGGAGCAGACAAAATGCTTATAAAAACAGACGGACTGCTGTGCAGTTATTATTCTGAGACTTGTACAGTTTGTAACCTGAAATGGAGACATTATGTCATTGATGGAGAAGGTCTTGGCAAAACTCCTGGCATAACGCTTGATAGAAGTAAAACCAGGATACCTTCCTCACATAGAAATACATTCTGTGTATCTTTTGATACATAGAACATACTTGTCTAGAAATCAAGGAAGACAACATCCTAGAATAAAACTTAACAGAATAATAATGGATCACTGGTTTTCTTTGCATGTCATTTATATGACAAATACAAATCTGGTGGTGCTTAGGAGAAGGAAGCACTGGAAGGACTGATGTGGATTGTTCACACAGAGCCTTTGATAACACAACTGTTATCACCTACTGTTCTGTTATCAGCTACTGTTGAACTAGAACGTCAGCCCAGCAGCCTTCTCCTGAACAGCAGTCCTGTGAAGGGCTGCTGCAGGCAACAGCACCCAGAGCCGAGAGGTATGATGGCAAATGCCTACTGTGGGGAAAACCCTTGCTTGTTAGAAGTAACTGGTATGGCAGACTGCACGTGGAATTCCTTAGCTTGCCTGGGTGAATTCAGAACTAGCTAAATCTTGTCCATTCCAGTATTTTTATTCCTGTTCATTGTTTTCCAAGCAATAAATGAATAGCACTCTGCTGACATAATCCCACATGTGATATAATACCATCGGCAAGCAAGGGAAAGAAAGGCAGGAATAGAAAGGCCCTTTACCAATTGAGTAATGCAAGAATGTTCCAACAGGTCACTACCAGAGCAATGCCTGTGGTTTCGTTTGGTAGTGGATTTCCCTAACCAAGTCTGAAGCAATGACATTCTTGCACAGGAAGTCAAGACTGTAAACGTGTGGCCGTAAAGCCATTATACATATAGGCAACGTAAACAAACTATGGCAACAATTCAGGCCAGGAGAAGCTTGTTAAGTTGCGTGTATGATAAAAGCTAACCCTAGCATGCAGCCCAGTCGCCAGCACAGCATCAATGACGGGCACTAGTACAGCGTTCTGATCCCAGCGTTTAAGTCAAATTACACGAGCCTTTACAAAAAGCTGAATTCCAAAAGAAAACTACATTTTTCCAGGGCTAATAGATGAAACCTACAATGCAAGACAAACTATTCCACCCGGTGCTCTGTGCTTCTAAAGAGCACGCAGTGGACCACCAGCTCAGGCATTAGGCTTTGTAGGTTTGTAATCTTAATCAGAGGATCTTTTATGTGGAAGTGCTATAAACAGCAGAAAATGTGCCATTTCAACATAGGATTATTTTCAGATCATCACCATATTCACGCGTTTTTTATGTATTTTTGATTCTTTCATTTTTTCAGGGAACTGATTTTATAAACAGATCGTTGCAGTAAGTTCCATGTATGATTTTTTTGTCTTATATTTTGCTGTTTCACAAATAGGAAAAGTATTTTTCATTCCAAAATGGACCCCAGACCCCATTAAATTAATTCCTTTTCCTGGTTCCAAGATAGCAAATATTTTCTATTCTCGTTTCCCCCTCATTTTACGGAGCTAGCCTGCTTAGCTAGAAATGCAATTTGGCAGAGAGAAGGATGTCTCTGAGAGTGGCATTCATTGATGAGAAGGCAAAAACAGCCTTTGAAAGATGATTTTTTTTTTTTAAACACAAAAACTAAATTGGGGCGCCCATTGCCTAATTGCTATTAGATGTGAAGGGAACTGTAGTAGCTGCATTTGACTGTAATCACATCCCAGTGGAAGAAAAGAGGTGTAGCAGAATTTGAGAGCGCCATTGGCTGTCTTCTTAAAGCATATCCCAGCAATATGTTTTTTCTCTGATTATTACTATAGACTATCCTGCAAGCCTGGAGAAAGAAGAATGTACTCTGTTATGCTTACCTATAGATCTGCTAAATGAGCACTCACTCCTTACTCACTTCAGCCCTCACTTGCCTTCTGCTTCCTCTTGTGTTTTTGAGGTATGGCCATGAACCAGAGAATTAACAGGACTTCTACCATATACCTGCACCCACATCTTAACCAGCAACATTTTTACTCAATAAACCTATTGTATTTTCCTTTCCTTTGACAACACAGACCAGCCTGAATTACTCCGCACCAACATATTTTGCCATTTTGTATTTCTGCCAGGGGAGCTTTAGGTTGTGTATTAGGAAAAATTTCTTCACCAAAGGGCTGTCAGGCATTGGAACGGGCTGCCCAGGGAAGTGGCTGAGTCACCATCCCTGGAGGGATTTAAGAGGTGGAGATGTGGTGCTTAGGGACACAGTTTAGTGGTGGATTTGGCACTGTTAGGTTAACGCTCGGACTTGATGATCTTAACAGTCTTTTCCAACCTAAATGATTCTATGATATGTGATTTTCTTCTCTAGCATTTTGTTATTCTGATGTAACTGCATTACTGTGGAGTTTGTGATGAGTATCTCTACTATGTGTGTGCTAATGAGTAACTCAGTAACAGCATCATAAGGTGCAATCTTATTTGATACATTTTTTTATTCATGTACACCGTACAAAGTAATTATTCTTTATATAAATATGATAATTCAAATTTCTCTAGATGACTTATTATTTCAATTCAATGGTGTAACAGTATAGGGACATAATTTTTTTTTCCATTTTACACCACTTGTCAGCAGTTATGTTACAGTACCCGCTGGACTCCATGGCAAAATCCCTGCTTGTATGTTGGTATCTCATAATGCACTTTGTGATTCCATATGTGCACCCTCTGCTACCTTATGCTATAAACCTTTTTATAAAAGGGGCACTTAAAAGCATTAGAAAGGTCAGTGGAAAATGTGAAGCAAATGTCCATAAATTAAATCCATGAGAAACTTGGATGGTCATTTTGGGGATAAAGCGCTGTAGTTGTGTAGATCATATACAATCTAAAACGCACAAAAAATCCACATTCAACAGCTTTCATGCCTTATAAGGGGTTGGGGGGTGGGGGAAGAAGAAAGCATTAACTTATGTGCTGTGACTTAACACATATTTAGCTGGTTAGCTTGTACTTTCCTGAGAGTCCCTAAAAATAAACTGAAACTGTCCAAACCTACTTGTGGTAAACAGAATGGCAGGAAAACTCCATTGTTTCCAAATGTGCGTTGAAACAAATGAGTGAACATGAGGCTCCTCTATAAGAGCAAGAGTCTTAATGGAAGAACTTACTGAGCCCTGGCTGAAGTCACATGGAAGTAACAGTGAGTCTCGCTCGCTTAACGGGATTTTATCTGCCAGCACCAGGCAGTGCCTCTGGTGAACTTCAGCACAGATGTTTCAAAATCCAACTAACACACTTCCAACACATCACTTGCTTCAGTGAAAACTTACTGAGAAAGGTAACACAAATAAATACAGGTCTGTCTCCTTCCGTGCCATTTCCGCTTTGTATAATAGGAAGACAGAGACAGGACAGATGGTTGAAAAGTTCACAGTCTGACCCACTCTGAATTATCAGGCTGTTTCCAACCATGACTAGGCCAAAATTCGGGTTAAAGGTATGAAAATGTGTTATTCAAATGGGAGAGGAAAACTTGGAACTTAGGTGTCAAAGGTAGTCTGATGACATTCTGTATGTAAATACTTTCAAATTTTAGTTAATTTGGGATTCTTCCCTTGCTGCTGTAAAACCAAAGTGTAAAAAACCTGAAAGTCTTCTCCTTCCTTTAAAACAGATTAACTATGCTGCTGTTTGTGGGCCTTTTTATTTGCAGGCTTTCCAAAGTTAGTTAGCTGTTCAGAAAAAAAGAAGCAATTCATGTACTATTTCTGTGTCAGGAAACGGCCAAGGAATAATGTAAAATAGAAAAAAGCTACCATCTAAGATATCTTTCCGTAAGTTGCAAATGACCGTAATCAGCGTGTGATTACGCACAGATGTCACGTGGTTCCTTGTAAAACCCTATCACCTGGTCAGTCTGCCTGTCCCTGAGTAAGCTCTTCCCACCCAGGAGTGATTCCGATGCGCCGTTTAAGGATGGTGATGCAGGCATACCTTTGGAGGAGATGCTCACTGGGGAAGGACGTGAACCCCGGAGAAGATTTCTGTGCCTTTCAGGTACAACTAAGATACTATGCAGCTGCCAGCTCTGTGAATCTTACCTTGGCCAGTTGTGCTTGGAGTTTGTTCTTTGCATCAGCTACTTCCGCAATACGGTTATTGAAGGCGATATTGGTGCTGATGAAATGATTCCACATCTCCTCAGACATGCCCTCCAGCCCAACCTCTGCCTCCTTTCGGAGCTTGACAGAGTTGGCCCTTGCATGCTGAGAGCACCTGATATTGTCTTCACTGAATTTAGCCCACGTTGCAGGAACTGAAACACTATTAAGAAATGTGAAATAAGGGGAAAATGAAAGATAAAAGCTTAGGTGAGCTAATTTTTGTTTAGTGATATTTACACTGAATTAAGTGTTCACAGAAATTTGCAAACTGTGCCATTGCATACTGCAGGTAATCCTGCTGGTTTCATACCCACTTCTTTTTCCTGTTTTCTTCTATAAACCAAAGATGTGGCAACACCAAGTGAAGATTTTGGGTGATGGTCTGAGCTCATCCCTGCTGTATCTCAGCTGAAATCTGACACGTTTGTGTCAAGGTTCAGAGTGCTTATGGCCTTGGTGGATTACTACATTATTTAACATGATCTCCTGTACCTTGCAAACCATCCAATTAAGTCCAAATACCACCTATTTTTGTGAACCCAAACCTTTATCCTGGGGAGAACTGGATTTGTTCTCCCAGCCCCAACACTATCTTTCTGTGTCATTCAGATAAATATCTCCATCCTCTTATTTCTCTGTGTATTAAAATGAAACCCTCTGCTTTAACTGACACGGCTGTTACAGTTAAATTCAGTATTGTCTATGAGCCAAGCAGAAATGGCTCTGCTGTGGAACAGCCTATGAATACACAGAGAAAGTCTGAATATAGGGCTCCTGCACTGAAAAATGCCACCCATGAATGTTCCTGCTGCAACATCCTGTATGTAAACAAACTCTGGGATGCTTGCTTGTGTGTCCAAACTTCACAGATGGTCTTCATTGTAACTGACAGAATTACAAACATAAATCCTGCACTCAAGTCTTTCCAAACTGGGAATCTGCGAGGTTCTAAACTTGCAGCCTGAGCCCCCGGCTTGAAAACTGGTGCAGCATAAGCTACTCTCTCTGGAGTTACATTCACCACCTTCTCTAGTGCATTGCTTAGCCTACTGGGTCACTTCTTTCACCCAAAAATATTTAGCATATTTTATGGAAAGGTACAGATATTTTACTCACCGAATTGATACACTGAGATAAACTTTTGCCTGCATTTAGACTTCATCCTCCATACAAATCTTCCTTCTACGAATGATGCCATTTACTGAGTTTCACGTTCACTTTAGATTTTAATTGAACGCTGAGAATAAATAGTAAGGGATGCAAAATAAAAAGGTAATTTTGTCAGCGCTTGTTTTCTCAGGGGCCCTTTTTTCAGTTTTTCATAGGGTATTCCTCTCCCTCAAAACTGAAGTACTGATCCTCCTAGACAACCTGGAATTCCTTAGTGCCACATCTTTATTTAGGCAGTTTCAGGTAACCGACATGACACCACAGTAAAGTGCATAAATCAGTGCACTAACCCTGAGCTGACATTACTTACAGCTACTGATCCACACAGTCTCAGTGTACTTTCTGCAGGGTCCTTTTTCCCCATGGTCTGATGATTAGATTCATATTCTCATCAGAAAATTCAATTTCCAAGCAGGTTTCCATCCTGACTATCTGAAATACTCAGCACTTAATCTGTTCTTCAGCACTGCTTTTTCAGACTGTAATTTATCTGGCTGGTCTGTCGAGGCAGAAAACACCTGCTCTTTTCCTGAGTGCTGCAGGTATGTCTCAGTCCACCAAATGGTTTCAGGAAAATGGTAATGAAAACTGGCATTTCTTTGGAGAATGGTTGGTTGAGAAAGGAAGAGGGCTGTAAAACTTAGCCACATGAATCTGCTTTTTACTAGAGCTGACAAGAATAATTTTATTCATTGCTAATCCTAAAAGTAGGTAGTGTTACTCGAGTCAGCAGAATGCCTGCCAAGTTTCCTTCGGTTAGGCCCTCATTTCAGTAGCGAATGAGGTGATCTTTTAATGAGAAGCAGAACATACGTAAACAAATAATACTGCTTTTTTTTTTTCTCCTTTCAACAGGACAGAGTCATTATCATTTCAGATTATGGAGTACACTCACCATTCAAATACTGCTGTGTTAAAGAGCGGCAAGGGAACTAACAAGTCATCAGTACAAAAACACTGCCCTCTATTGCACACTGCTTTTCTTCACTATTGCTTTTGGATTGGATGCAGGTCTTGATGTGGCCCCTATTAATAAACAGTTTTAAAACTGTATACAGTTGGGACATTTTAGTTCAGCCTGTAACACTAAAGCTGTGCCAAATCTTTTTGGTCATCCTGTTTAATACATAACCATGCAGCTTGATGGACTGATTTCCACATAACCCAAGCTGTTTTTACAGAAAATATATAAAGTCCTTGGTGTACACTTGCATGCTGTTCAGCACACTGCATTTAACTGCACACCTTAGCTGAATTTTTATCTGATTGGATGTGGGTTTGAAACCCAAAGGCCACAAACAGTATGGGAGCATGAAAACCAGGGGGAGCATGGAAAGAGAAGGCTACGGTAGCTGCTCATACTCACGTCCCGCCTGCTTTCTCCACTCCATGGTAAAAGCTGATGCTGTCCGATGTGTTCCTCAGGTTAAAGCACTTCTCATCAATAAAATGGGCTGCGTTTTTGTCAGAAAGATCCTGCTCCAGGGCATGCTGTGCATCTCTGTTGATGCTGTGAAGGGGAAAGGCTTACCTTAATTCTGAACCACCTCTAATGCTGTTATGCTAACTAGCTGATTGTTTTCATTAGCCTCCTGCAGTGCTTCACTGTAGAGTTGGTTGGCATTTACAGCTTTGGCAATGCTTGGTGCTGTACTGTAGCTAGAGGGAGCTGCTGTACCACTCACACCCGTTAGCCTCCGGTGAGCGTTCCTCAAAGGCAGGCATTTAACTCTGCATTTAATAATGCTGGTCATTTTGGTGACAGCCAGACACGAGGGTGAGAAACAGCAGGCAGTGGCTGCGAGGCATGAAGGAGAGCCTCCCAGCAATCGGGAGGAGGTTTTCACTCAGAACCTTCACGCCAGCAGAGCTCTAAGAGAAAGAAAAGGCAGCGCAGAGCTGCGGTTTCTCATCTCCTGATCTGAGGGCCAAATTCAGATAGGTAATGCAAACTGTGCATCACTGTTGAAGTATTTCTGCTAATCTGGATCACAAGGAGGGAAACATGTTGCTCCGTCTCTTCTTTCTTACCCACAAGGAATTTTTGGATTAACCTAATCTCCTTTGGCTCTTCCAAAAGGGGGAAAGGCCTGGCAGACTTTGGGCTACAGTCGGCATAATATGGATGAAAAAAGAATCAAAGTCTTGCTTTCCAGTGCATCAGGAGACAGCAGACTCACTGACAGTTTTGGCAAATATTGCCGTTTCCGGGATGTACTTGTCAATTGGTCTGGCTGATGCGGTGACAGAACTGATCAAAGGTAACCAGAAATGCCATCCTAAAGAGCAGAGGTCACGCCACCACATACGAACTCTCTTTCATCTGACCACACACCAAAGATGAGACAGTGGCGGGGTGAACTGCAGAAATGCATGTAACCTGCCTCAGGTGGGTCCTGAGGGCCTTTAATGAAAGCGGCCATTTATAAACTCTACTTACGTCTTTTTCTGCTAGAACATAATAGTCAAGAACTGTACAACTGTATCTTCCTTGTGAGCACCTGAGCTGTTTCTTTTGGGAATGATGTCATGCCACATAAACATGACTTTTAAAATATGTGTCAGTTCTGTGTAATTAACAGAACAGACTGTATTCAGAATAGTTTTTGCTAATTAAATAAGACAAATAATTTGCATTTTCTAGGATATTTGTGCACTGTCAAAGAAATAAATTCCAAAGCCTCCCATAACAAAACATATATAAATATACATTAAAATAATTTAAGTCCATTCCATAATTCATCTGATACCTTAGACTCCTGTTTCTTTTGTCAATAATAATTTTCCTTTCAATTTACTTTTGTAATTAAAAAAATAATCCCTTTTAACTTCATTCCAGTGTGCTGCAAAACAACATGGGCATAACTAACCTGTAATTTTGGTGCCCCTAATTTTAATGAAGGATTTCAGATTAAACATGACTTTAAAAACTGCATTTGAATATTGCTCTTCTGCACTTTAACATACAAATTCTATCACTGGAAAGAATTACAAGTGGGGGGGAATGAGCATCTAACAGGCTAAGTCTCTCATTTTTGCCTTTGCTATTTTCAGTCTGTCGTCAGACACTAGCCAACACTGAATTCAGCCTTCTTATCTTTAGGAATTAAATATAAAGTCTTACCCCAACTGATCACTGATTTTCTGTGCAAGTTTTGTCACTTTTTGTTGACAGCCCTTGAATGCCTCAACCTCCTAGAGTGGAAAATACACAGTGTCAGTGCTTTCACCAAACTTCATTTCACACGGTGAGTTTATACTTTTTATTCTATATTCTAGATGTTGCAACTATCTCGCATATCTCAACTGTAATTTAGGTCAAGAAAGGATATGTTTTTTTCCCTCTCTTCCCCAGTCTTACAAAGTTGTATCTTTTGAATTGTATTCGTATGGCTTTTTATATTTTATCCAACACGTTAGTAGATTTTATTGGATAGAGTCACTCCAATAAACATGAAGTGAAATTTTGCTTGGCTTAAGTACAGTGAAGATATTTGAAACATGAACCTGAATGTATTAAACTACCCTAACTACCTCTAAATTTTTTTAGAACAATACAAATGTTTTGCTAACAGTAGAGTAGGCTGAAAATATATCTGATTTCAGAAACAGGCTCCTTAAGGAGGTATATTCTAATACATGTCAGAACTATAAATATTAGTCAAAGAAATTCAAAGCCAGGTTCCATTCAGCTTAAAATAAATAAAAAATACCAAAACTAACCCCACAGAAAACTATGCAAACACAGCAATTATGGCCCCTCCAACAACATTACGGTGTTCCAGCCTCTTTTAAATTCTGTCTGAGCTCAACATACCCTCTTACCTACGTGTGTACAGTTCTGTGAGTTTTGAAAACAGTAAATAAAGTGTTTTAAACTCCTTGGAAGTCATCAAGACGTCCCAAATTTAACAACACAGGCTTTGTCTCTGTGCTTGTAGAGTATGTGTAGGAGGGACAGCAACTTTACAACTGGCTTTCCTGTTACTACAACATGAGCCTTTGATGGCCTTTACTGTCACTCTCTAGCTGGCTCCAAGCTAGCTAGAGCAGTGTTTGGGGACATCAGGCAAATGCCCTTTATTTTCCATTTTGAGAGAATATCTTTTCATCTGTTTATGTGGAACATTTAGCAGTACTTCACCCTCCCTGGGATTCTCATGCTAAATTAAGTGCTGAAACACTTAAGGTAATATATATTAGCTCCTTGATTTTTCATTAAAACTCTAAAACTCCCAAGGTGCAGGCTGTGGGCTCTGAACAAGCATCTCGGTTACCCAAATGGTCTGCACATACTTCTGTAGTCCATTCATCCAGAAAAGCGCTTGAAACAATGCCACTGTCCCATAATGTTCCTTCCTAGTGTTTTTTTTCTCACACATATCCAATATAACCTCTTTCAAATATGGTAGCAAAATGTTATTTTGTATTTTTTTTTCTTATGATTATTTAAAAGATTTAGCAGTCACTACTGTCTATCTCACTGTCTTTGTTCAGTAACACTATATACATAGCAAGGGAGTAAACCAGCATTTTATATTGTAATCCTTAAGAACCTGTGAAATTTTGTAAACCATGGCCCAGAAAACAATCTTCAAACATTTCTACCTTGTTTTATAGGATGAGAGAAGATAGAACTGGACAAGACCTCACAAGGACGGTAAGCTATTCCTTTTGCTCCAGGAAGGAGGAATAGAACATTAACCATCCCAAATGTGCCTAGTTTTACCAAATTTCTTCCTCTTTTCCCCACCTCAGTCTTTCAAATGAATGAAAGGAAGAAATTACTGCAATGTTTTTACTGTGATAAATATTTAGCTGGATTTTAGTTATTTCCACAGTTTGAAAAATAGACTAGGAAGTCTGATCTTACCTTGATGAGGTTCTTTTCCACATTGTCATGAACTAAGTCTATACCCTTGCGCTTCTCACATTGGTGCAAGCACTCTAGGGCTTTCTGCAAGGAAACCGAGGCACGTTTGCTCAGTACTGCGTTGTGGAGTGAAACCTTGAACCTTGCTGAGGGGGCCACTGAGCTGACGTGTCAAGCAACGACCATGTATTGAGGGTGGAGCAGAGCAGGAGGCGGCTTCGTTGCACTCAACTGATCCATCTTAGTGGCTCATTCCTACTCCCCTTTCACACGTACTTTTAAGGAGTCGCTGCCACCGTACCTGCATTTGATGAGCTGCTTATTAATGTGCAGCAAGGGCTACATCTCAGCGTGCCCAAGCTTTGTGGCAGATTGTGTGGATTTAAACACTCGTGTTGTTCCGTGCTCATCCCTTAACCTCATCTCCCCTCATCCTCCCTTGCCTGATGCCAGAGTTCGGAAATTTCACACCTACGCAAGGGGATGACTGCACAACAGGAGTCCTTGAACAGGGAGTTCAGCTAAGCAGCCTCAGCAGGTTACCTTTCCTCTTAATGTCTCACCCCCTTGTTTGGAACCATCCCAATAAATCTGCCACAAAGCCTTTCAGCGGGAAATGCTCCCTGACGAGAAGCACCCTCAGCCTGCCACTGCGTCAGCACAAGCACAGCCAACTTACAAAGGCAT